GAGCAGGGAGCCCGATGTGGGCCTCGATCCCAGGACCCTGGGACCATGACCTGTGCCGAAGGCAGACGCTTAATGACTGAGCCACCCAGGCGCCCAAGAAATACATTTTTAATACACTGCTGGGCTTACAAGGAAGTAAATATCTTCAAGGCTCCCCCAAAATTAAAAACACTAAGAATAAATAAAGAAAGAAACAGAAGGGTAATGAACAGAAACCCAGGAAGATGAAAGGAAACAGGTGGGATAGCAGGGAGGCCCCTCTACACAGGGATGGAGAGGCGAAATTGCAATTATGAAAGCCCACACAGGACCCGAGCAGGGCCCAGGTAAGGGCATGCCTTGCAGAGGGAATCCTTCCCGGAGGGATGTGTCCTCAGGATGTTCACAGGTATGGGGTGACAGTGTGAAATGAGCATCCCTTCAAAGAAACAATATACTATTAGTGAGAATCATCAGAAACAACAAATAATAGATTTGGACACCCTCCCCCAAAGAGTAAGAAACTGGAATTTTTAGGTACAGAATATAAAATAACTATATGTGAAATGCTCAGGAAATTGAAGCAAAACTGGGATCCAAAAATCGAACATGCACGGAGACCATCAAAAATGATGAGATTTGAATAAGAAACAAGTATAACTTTTAGATATGATAATAACTTAAAATTAAATGAACACATTAATTGGCAAATTAGACACAATCAAATAATTAGTGAAACCTGAAGAAGATGAAGAAATTGCCCAGAATGCAGCACAGAGTTGGGGAGACGGAAATACAAAAGAGAGGCCAGCGGACACTGGGAGCGAAGGGGAAGAGATGCTCCCAAAAAAGAATGAACGGGAGGCCAACTTGGAGAGGTAATGGTTGAGAATTCTCCAGAACTGATGAAGGATAGGGATCTGTAGGAACAGGAAACACCGTATATACCAAATGGATGAATAAGAACATATCCACAACTAGAAACATGCTTAAAGCCAAAGATGGGAAAAGACAGAGAAGATCTTACAATTATCCAGAGAGAACAGACTTGAGTTAACCTGTCCAACCTGTCTAGATGCTAGCCCGGGTCACAAGCTGGGCCCGCAACCCCATCACAGGCTGAGCCCTGCAAGGCCTGGGGCTGCTGGCCATTGCTGAGCTTCTGGAATCATGTTCTTCCCGGGCAAGTCTCGCCACTTCTGGAACCCTCTGGAGGCCCTCTGACTGACCACACAAGGGGCCCGTAGGTCTGCGGACAGAAGCCAGGAAGACCCCCTTTCTCTGAGCCTGGCCGGGCGCCCCTTCTCTGAGAGGCATCTCCCTCCTCCCTGGGGGCTTCCCAGCCCCTCCGCATCAGAGGGGACTGCGGGGGTGGGGAGACCTTGGGGAAGGGGGGACCTCGGTTCGGGGGAGTCTGGTGCCATCTCGCGGCCACTCGAAGCACTGCGTACGAAGCCCCGAGGTATGCCCGCGATTTTGGAGGACAGAACCTGGACGCAGACCCCGAGCTCGCAGGCCTGGGGCTCTCTTAGGGGGCGGGGGGAGGAGTTCGGGGACCTTCCCGGATTTGGGATTCTTGTCCTTTGGAGAGGCCTCTGGGGCTCACACCCAGGCGCAGAGCTGCTCCTCCCCACTCCCACAGTCGCTGAACCCCGGGTGGCGGCGGGGTCCAGGGGTCCAAGTTGGGGGTAGCAGCGTGAGGAGGCGCCGGGCCAGGCGGGTGCGAGCGGCCGAGGCAAGCACGAGCAGCGGAGGCAGCGAGAGGAAGCCGAGGACGATGAGCGCCGCGGAGCCTCTGTCCGAGAGGAGCGCGCGGCACGCGGGGCGGGGTGCCGGGTGAACCTGGGGGCGAGGCGAGCGGTCAGGCAGGGCCGGGAGCGGCCTGGGAGCAGGTGGCCCCGCAGAGGCCTGGGGGCGGGAGTAGATGGAGCCGGCGGGGCGCGGGGTCGGTGCGACCCTGCGGGGTGGGGCCTGGGCGCGGGTCTGAGGTCTGGCGGAGCGCGCAGGCTGGCGCCGGCTGGGGCCCGGCGCTTCTGAGTCGAGAATGGGAGATCCGGGGCCCAAGCGGCAAATGGCCGGAGTAGGAGTCCTTTGAGGGGAGGCTCAGAAACTTGTTCCCCGTTTGTCCCATCCCGGCTTTCCTCCCGTCGGTGCTCTCCTGGGGCCCTTCCCTATGTTGGCATCTGACCTCGCGTCCTACCCGTGCCGCTCTCCGATGGCGCCTTCTCTCCCCCGCCCCCGCCTCATGCCTACAGAAGGAGGACCCGGGGCACGTCTGCCCACGCGCCCCTTCCTTAGACCAAGCCATAGCCCGTTCCACACGGGGAAAGCCAGCCCAGGGCAGGAGGCGTCTCCGAGGGGCCGCGGGGACGGGCAGGGGTGGTGCACTGGAGAACTCGGGCAATATCACACCTTCTCCCACCATTGGCTTTATCTCGTCCTGGAACCCCCCTCCTCTTCCCACCATGCCCAGCTGTCCAGGCCCTGGTGGCCCTTGGTACAAGGCTAGGCGGCCTCGCAAGGGGAGGGAGCTGTCCGCTCCAGCGACAAACAAAAGCCCTTCTTTTGCTGTGGCTGGGGGGGGGGGGTGCTTGGCAGAAGAAGGGGCTTTCCAGGGAGGGGCACATATGTCTCTGGGGACAAGGGGGCCATGTTGAAAGGGTGAGACTCACCTACAGCCCCAGGGCCCTGCGCTTCTGCAGG